CAGCTCAGTTTAAATAATGTAATAAATAATGCCGTCATTGATATTAATTTTTAAATTATTATTAAAGGTAGGTATTACTGTGTTATTTCTTCATCATAAATGACTTTAAGACTGGTCAATTCTGTTGAACAACGATGAAGAATTTGGCTTTTTACACGTACAGCGGACAAATATTCCATATCAGGATCATGATTATGAAGTCCGATCACCTCAAATCTATCATTCCTGATAAGTCTTTTATATAATAAAAAAATTACAATATCGTGTTAAGAAGAGTTTAATGTTATAAACTGTTTTCAGCCTTAAGAGGATTAAAAGCGGACTGGTTTTTTCGAAGTTTTAGACCTAAGATCCTGACAAAATTACGCCTACGTAGAATGTCCAATTTGAATTTTATATAAAAAATGTCAAGTTAATCGTCCTCTTTTCAAGGTTATTGTGTAAATAATTTTATATTTTCAATTAAAATTGTGTTTAAATCCTATTTTAATTTCTTAAGTTTTTAGTATCCTTTATATTGTTTTATTAATCCGACTTCCACGGTAACCTAGGGAAAAAGCTCATGAGCCCAAATATTTATACAGAATTAAAATTCAATCATATTAAGTAGGCATAATTTTGTCAAGATTTTAGGTCTTAAGGGGGAATTACATGCGGTCAGTTTTTTCAGTCATAACATCATTTTTATTCAATTGCATAAGCCAACACGGTGATCCGATAAACAATCTAAAAACAGATTTGAATTCGTCATGAAGTTTACTTAGGATCGTTCAGGGCACACTTTCGGTTTTTAATTTAAACCCTTTACCTTTACCCTTTTAAAAATTGAAATTTTTTATAATATTCAAACGGGTTTTGTACATAGTAGGAATAAGATATCAAAAAAGTGCCCTGACCGATGAAGTAAACTTCATGGCAAATTCAAATATATTTTCAGATAAATTATCGGACCACTGGTTCAGCCAGTGCGATGGAACAAAATATGTATACTATATTAACTAAAATGGCTTTACTCATAGACAAAAAGATTTAAATTAAAAATAACACCATGAAGCTTATACAAATTAACCGGTAAATTAATTGACATGGTCAAAATTTATTAAAATAGTTTTTCCTAAATATTGCCTATACAAAATTCCTTAAAAACCGACCGTATGCAATTCCCTTAATTAATTTCTTGTATGTACAAAATGGCATTTACTCGGAGAATAAATTATAAAAGTTAAAAATGATGCCTCTAGCTTTTACAAAGTAACCTGTAACTAAATAAAATGTTCGAAAAGTTGCTTTTTTCTTAAATATTGCCTTTAATAAAACCCCTTAAAAACCGTCCGCTTTCAATCCCTTTAATCATTGTTATGTTTTATACCAAATCGGATTATAAAAAATTATTATGAATATAAATACTAATTGCCACAAAATATTCATGATAGTTAACCCATTGATCAATTTTTGTAAATTATCATATTAAAATCTATAAATTGTGTACTAGGGCAACTCATGGTGCTGGCCTTTTTTCTTTGAAAAATAGTGTTATTTTCTAAAAAAAATCAAATAAAACGGTTTTTATTTCAAGCCTTTTAAAAGATATTTTTCTAATTAAGTGGAGTATTACCTAATTAAAAAAAATCTTCTGTTGAGTTATACTTAAATGGTACACTGCTTTATTGTGTATTCGTAAAATAAGTACGATTACGTCTAACTACTAATTGCTTCAGTTTTCCATTTACAATCGGGTTACAAATAATTCATATTGAGAAAAAAGATTAATTTTCTAAAATAATATATAGCAATAAATCATACCTCTCGCAGTGCAGTTGGGTTTTATACAACTTAGTGAGGTAGACGATAGCCTCACTTTCTTTACGCGGTAAAAAAAGCCATCATTACTATGATGTAGCTTACTATTTTTACGAAATCCGTCGACAACTTCGTATTCCATTTTTAACCAACGAAAAGTACAAAAAGAAAAAAAGGACAGATGTGTTGTCTGAGCTCTCGATAAAAACCGAATGAACCCAATGTAAGTATGAACTTGGTTGGTTGGTACTTTTTTATTTTTTATTTATATATATATATATATAATATAATATATATATAAAAGTAGGTATGTATGTTACACAATCTTTAAACATTAAAACACAAAATGTTAACAAATGGCTAACCAAACACCTTCACTCAATGGCACCTCATTATGAAGCGGAAGAACTATCAATAATTTTAAATGCTTTAACATTTACAACCATATATGGACTACAGAAAAAAGATATTTTACATGAGTTTATCACATATTAACATAAATAACCTTGAAGATATTGTTTGTCCTCGCATAGATCAATTACACTCTGATGATGGATACCCAACGTGTTTATTTCACATGAATTTAAGCCCTAAACAACACTGTACTTTTTATAAAATGTTTACATTACGCAATTGGTTTTAAACATTGCATTACCTTGTATATTATTATCAATGTATTTTAGTTAAATAAAAAACATTTTTTTTTGTTTAGCAATTAGTACTGTATTTATTAACATTACGGTTATTGTATATTATTATACACACATTATCAAGAATAATATGATTTTAACCAGATGGTTTTACATAATATTTTTTTTTACATTAGATATTATAACAATTTTTATAAAAAAAAAATTTATAATGTTAACTTTGAAGTTATTACAATTCAATGGGGTGGAGTTTGTATTTAAATGGCTTTTATTCATCTATTTACACCACATCACATCAGAAGTGGGAGGGTTCGCCTGCGCAAAACTGAAGGTGTGGTGCAATAGGTACGACAATACAAAAATGCTTAAAGGGACAAAAAAAAAGAATACATGTATATTGTAGTATGATATTGGCAGTAATGCCCTTCAAACGGCAGTGTTGGGCGTAACCGATTAATTTATTATTGGATTACGTAATCGATTACAACATTGTAATCATGATTAAATTAATCATTAATCATTTTATCATTTTGTAAAAGTAATCAGTAATCATGATTATATTTTCAATTGTAATCATGAAAACATTATAAAAAAAAATTGTTTAACCGCCCCAGGCTTATTACAAAATAATAATAATTGTCCAGATGATATTGCAAAGGTCAAATCGTCTTAGACATCCCATATATTTTTTTTTATATATGTATTATGTAATACATAAAACCTATGGCGGTTAAAAAAATATAATCATTAATCATTTCATGATCACATTTAAAAGATTAATGTAATCATAAATGTAATCATGATTACATTTATATGATTGTATTAATCTAACACGATGATTACTGATTACTATTATTTATCGTAATAATTAAACAGATTACATTTGCCCAACACTGTCAAACGGTAGTCGGTAGCCGAAATGTCGCAGGCTCTTCCCACTGGCCCGGCCAGTGACACGCGAGTAAGGTTCATGAGCAACTTGTAGAATGGAGCGAGGTTGATAGGAGATCGCCACAAGAGAGTCTGCGCCACTTCTCAATGCGCCAACAAGAGGCGGCCGGAGGAGAGTGACGGCGGATGAGCTAAAGGGTCAAGTACCCAGGACATAAGCAGTGGTGGTTGGACCGATAAAACCGGAGAACTGGAGATTAAAAGCATTTGGCGGACTAGAGGTAGAGTGATAGGAGGTATCGAAGTCGGAGAAGATGCGGCTAGAGTGGGAACCCCGGCGACCAAAATAAGGGCCTAGTCGGCTTTGATGTGCCGGTATCAAAGCCAGGCCGTAAAGTACATGCACCATTTTATACCTTGTTCGCTAAGAGAGCATGCTGGGTTTGCGCGTGTAGACTGAAGACTAAGCCTGGCAGACAGGGCGGACTTCGGGGGAAACGTTAGTCACACTTGGTGCCACGGGGGGGTGCGCAGAACGGCCAATTTTCGTTGGGTTGCGGCATGTGACTAACGTTCCCCCGTAAGTCCGCTCTGTCTGCCTGCCTTAGTCTTGCTACTTAGTCTTCAGTCTACACGCGCAAACCCGGCATCAGTGTTGGGCGTAATCGTAATCACACCTTAAAATTTTCATGATTATAAACGTAATGGTAGTTATGATTACGATTTTTCCCAACACTGGCCGGCATGCTCTCTTAGCGAACAGAGTATAGAACGGTGCATGTACTGAGATCACTAGAGTGATCTCTAACGCCTACGGCGCCCCCTCATTCTTCTTGCATAATGTTCGGGACTTTCTTTGGACTCCACCCAGGGCAGATGGCACTGGTGCCCGAGGTGCCCGAACTCCTTGCACCTCATACAAGCATGCTTCCTCCTCTGAAAATTATCAAAAAATTGTTTTATTAACAACTTTCCAGGGTGTAATCAACTCTTAAAACTCAGGTTCCATGTATAAATATTTGATAAACTTTTTAAATAAGCGATAATTTGATTAAAAATTTTTGAAATAACAATAAATATTTAATAAATATGGAGAGGGGAAGGAGAATTTTACAACTTTACCGCACTTAACTAATTAAAAGAGCCAATAAAATATACATAGATGTTACCATTTAAATTTTAAAAGTTGATAGAGCTCTGATAGAAAATCAGAAAGATACATATTTGAATACGACATCATATTGTAAAATAACATAAACAAAAGTTTTCAATTGAAAAACTACGAAATTCGAAATAGTTTAATAGAAATTGATTGTCTTATCCATAATGAATCTTCCAGTATAGTCGATTAAATGTCCATGCATTCTAGGGTCGTATTCCCATAGTATCTCATTAAACGACAAATTTTTATTTTTGGTACTTACCTCTTCTCTAACCAACATTTCCATATAACGTCGCTGAAAAAACAAAATAAAGAAAAAATTGATATAATTGTATATTTTAAATTTACCTGTGGTCTAATTTTCAGATTTTTTAAACCCCAAAAACTTCAATTAAAAAACAAAATAAAGAAAAATTATCCAACCCTTTTAAGGAAATTAGTTAATAAGCATTTATGGATTATAAAAAGAGGGGAAAAAAATTGGCCATAGTAAACTTCTAGTATATTAGACTTACCAAATCCGGCCTTGGTCCTTGTGGGACCTCTTCGTCCTCCATGTCAACTCTTCTCTGTTCTTCTCCCTAAACGCAAACAAAGCTATAATTAATACATTATTTAAATATATGCAAAAAAACACAAGGTAATAATATTTCTCTACTCCAGTTTTAGCATATTTATTTTTATATTACAACTGTAATACAGTACCCAGCTGTGAGTACCACAGCTTATAAGGCGAACAGTCGCCAAAAGTTTATATTCCACGTAGGGATGCAATCGATAAGGCTTAAGTTCATACAATATATTTCTAGTATTTCAGACTTACTGTAATAGGTTTTGGTTCATTTGGGTGCGGTTCCAAATTATGTTCCTCTCCCTAAACGCAAACAAAACTAATTAATACAATATTTAATTAAATGAAAAAAAAAACCCAAGGTGTTAATATTACACTACTCCAGTTTTGGCATATTTAGTTATTTTTTATCACCACTGTAATACACTACCACAGCTTATGGGGCGTACAATCGTAAAACATTTTATTTCACGTAGGGAAGCGATTAATAAAGCTACTAGACTGTAACCTGTAGATTTAGGATATTTTTAGTTCAATGGAACGAAGTGTGGTAACAGAAAAGCAAGTGGCAAAAAAAAGTATCCAGACCTTTTAAGGAAATTAGTTTAAAAGCATTTATGGATTGTAAAAAAAGTGGGGAAAATTTAGCCATAGTCAATTTCTAGTATTTTAGACTTACCAAATCCGGCGTTGGTCCACGTGGGACCTCTTCGACTTTCTCTTCGTCTACTCTGTGTTCTGTTGTTAATATAGGTTCATTTGGGTGCGGTTCTACATTATGCTCCTCTCCCTAAACGCAAACAAAACTAATTAATACAACATTTAAATATATGTAAAAAAAACCACAAGGTATTAATATTTCTCTACTCCAGTTTTGGCATATTTAGTTATTTTTTATCACAACTGTAATAGACTACCACAGCTTATGGGGCGCACAATCGTAAAAAATTGTATTTCACGTAGGGAAGTGATTGATAAGGCTACTAGACTGTAACCTGTAAATTTAGGATATTGTTAGTTCAATGGAACGAAGTGTGGTAACAGAAAAGCAAGTGCAAGAAAAAGTATCCGACCCTTTTAAGGAAATTAGTTTATAAGTTTATGGGCTGGGCGTACCTTGGCTTTTGTGGTTCTCCCCAAAGGTGGTCCCTTACGACCACGGACCGACTAGTATCACTGAGCGCTAATTGCGTAATAAGCATATATGGATTGTAAAAAAAGGCAAAAAAAAAAATTTGGCCATAGTCAATTTCTAGTATTTTAAACTTACCAAATCCGGCCTTGGTCCACGTGCGACCTCTTCGACCTCCTCGTCTACTCTGTGTTCTGTTATTGATATCGTTACTCTGTTATTCATATAACGTGGCTGAAAAAACAAAATAAAGAAAAAGTTGATATAATTGTATATTTTAAATTTACCTGTGGTCTAATTTTCAGACTTTTTAAACCCCAAAAACTTCAATTAAAAAACAAAATAAAGGAAAAGTATCCAACTCTTTTAAGGAAACTAGTTAATAAGCATTTATGGATTGTAAAAAAGAGGGGAAAAATTTGGCCATAGTCAATTTCTAGTATTTTAGACTTACCAAATCCGGCCTTGGCCCACGTGCGACCTCTTCGACCACCTCGTCTACTCTGTGTTCTGTTATTATTATCGTTACTCTGTTATTCATATAACGTTGCTGAAAAACAAAATAAAGAAAAAGTTGATATAATTGTATATTTTAAATTTACCTATGGTCTAATTTTCAGATTTTTTAAACCCCAAAAACTTCAATTAAAAAACAAAATAAAAAAAAATTACCCAACCCTTTTAAGGAAATTAGTCTATAAGCATTTATGGATTGTAAAAAAGGGTGAATAAAATTTGGCCATAGTCAATTTCTAGTAATTTAGACTTACCAAATCCGGCTTTGGTCCACGTGGGACCTCTTCGACTTCTTCTTCGTCTACTCTGTGTTCTGTTGTTAATATAGGTTCATTTGGGTGCGGTTCTACATTATGTTCCTCTCCCTAAACGCAAACAAAACTAATTAATACAATATTTAAATATATGTTATAAAAAAAACCCAAGGTATTAACATTTTTCTTCTCCAGTTTTGGCATTTTTAGTTATTTTTTATCACAACTGTAATAGACTACCACAGCTCATGGGGAGTACAATCGTAAAAAATTATATTTCACGTAGGAAAGCGATTGATAAGGCTACTAGTCTGTAAGTTGTAAATTTAGGATATTTTTAGTTCAATAGAACGAAGTGTGGTACCAGGAAAGCCAGTGGCAAGAAAAATTATCCAACCCTTTTAAGGAAATTAGTCTATAAGCCTTTATGGATTGTAAAAAAGGGGGAATAAAATTTGGCCATAGTCAATTTCTAGTATTTTAGACTTACCAAATCCGGCTTTGGTCCACGTGGGACCTCTTCGACCTCGTCTTCGTCTACTCTGTGTTCTGTTGTGAATATCGGTTCATTTGGGTGCGGTTCTACATTATGTTCCTCTCCCTAAACGCAAACAAAACTAATTAATACAATATTTAAATATATGTAAAAAAAAACCCAAGGTATTACATTTTTCTTCTCCAGTTTTGGCATTTTTAGTTATTTTTTATCACAACTGTAATAGACTACCACAGCTCATGGGGAGTACAATCGTAAAAAATTGTATTTCACGTAGGAAAGCGATTGATAAGGCTACTAGTCTGTAACTTGTAAATTTAGGATATTTTTAGTTCAATAGAACGAAGTGTGGTACCAGGAAAGCCAGTGGCAAGAAAAATTATCCAACCCTTTTAAGGAAATTAGTCTATAAGCATTTATGGATTGTAAAAAAGGGGGAATAAAATTTGGCCATAGTCAATTTCTAGTATTTTAGACTTACCAAATCCGGCTTTGGTCCACGTGGGACCTCTTCGACTTCGTCTTCGTCTACTCTGTGTTCTGTTGTTAATATAGGTTCATTTGGGTGCGGTTCCACATTATGTTCCTCTCCCTAAACGCAAACAAAACTAATTAATACAATATTTAAATATATGTAAAAAAAAAACCCAATGTATTCATATTTCTCTACTCTAGATTTGGTATATTAAGTTATTTTTTATCACAACTGTAATAGACTACCACAGCTTATAGGGCGTACAATTGTCAACAAATTTTATTTCACGTAGGGAAGTGATAGATAAAGCTACTAAACTGTAACCTGGAAATTTAGGATATTTTTAGTTCAATGTAACGCCAGCACTGTGCTATTACTGCCCTCATTATTTTTATAATGTATGACTGATTTCTGTACACAACTAATTTTTATGTCGACTAATAATAATACTAAGGACGAAGAAGGTTGATCATTTTCTGTTGAGTCTTTAACTAGGGATTGTGTTGGTTCCTTTTTAGGTTGAACATTTGATGTTCGCTTAATTGCATCATAATGTAGCAAAGTATGATGGCGAGCTGAACAAGTGCGACAGTTGCTTGACGAACAACCCTTTGCATTGTGGTTAGGTGACAAACAATTAAAACAGACTCGCGATCCCTTTGCTACTTCATATCTTTTAGAAACCTTTATGCTCCGGAACTTGTAACATCGATGAAACAAGTGATCACCGCGACATAATGGACATTGTGAGGGAGAACTTTGAGTAATAAACACAATTTATTCTTTGAGCCGGTAGATTTGTGCTCGTCGGATTTTCTGTTAAACACAACAAGTCCTCGCTGACCACTTTCAAACGCGTCAAGTAACCTAATACGAGAGTTGAGAAAAATTTCAAACTGGGAAAATGGAACTACATCAGTTGTGCCCAACGACCGTTCCCATTGTTGTAGAGTCAACTTGTCCAATTTGCTTAACGCTAGCTCAATCAATATTGCATGCCATTTATCTACTGCCTGACCAAGGTTGTTTAATGCTTGTCGATGCTTAATAGAGATGTTATAAAACAGTTTAGCGACACAGAACAGGAAGTATTGAACACAGGTGCCTTAACGGCTGTAAAATAGGCAATTTTATGTGCTCCGTGTAGCCTATTTTAAACGCCTTGAATAAACAAAAAAGAACCAAAGAATGTAATTTTTGTTAGGTTGAAGTAAAAAAAAAAGCAGAAGTACAATTAATAATTTTTATTGTTTACCAGTGCCGAAACTACCGGGGGGCGGGCAGGGCGACGCCCTGCTAAAAGGGCACTATAAGATGAATTTTGGGGCACAATTTCTAACTTAGATACTTCAGTCTAGGTCCTGATTAAAGAACAAATGCAGTTATAAAAATCAAATTTTTTAAATATTTATCTATTTGTCAAACAGTTCTTATCGATTTTATAATAGTAGATATTTATAGTAGTTCTCTGAAAATCGATATGCAGCCTAATAACACTGATATTAGTGATTGCTCTGTAGTTAAACCATGGTTACAGTATTTAAAACTGTTAAGACTAACTGAGAAAGTGATAGTAAATTACTAGCAGATTTTGATCCAGTTCTACACCAGTTGTTAAATGAAGACAGGTATAAAATAAATAATAATATATACCTTTCAGGATACGCACAGTATTAGCTTAGTTCTACCCACGCGACCACTCTGAGGCCTGTAAGTTATAGGGACTACAATTTTTGGGGTGAACAGCAGTGTAGCGACTCAATACTGTGCATACCTGTTTTTCTCCGCAAGGAACAATTATTACAAACGCTAGTGGCCGGCACGACAATCCTCAAACAATGAATCAACAACATTTGAAACCGACACGAATCTAACGACTAACCTAAAAATCAACAAACCAATTTAATATAATTTTACTGTACCCTGCTAGAACGACACCAACTTAACGTTCCCCGGACTCACTAACGCGTTGTTAGAGTTCAGCGTCTGATGATGAAAATTTATTTTAAACGTATTGGCGCGAGGGTAACTTTTAAGGGTAAAAATGTACTCTGTAGTAGTAAAATATAATTATTTTATAAGTGCTTAGACTTCTTGCAATATAAATTACCATAAGAGTTGAAAAAAAGTTGTAAAAAAATGCAAAAAGTCTTGGGGAGTGGAACCGGATTTGAACCCAGTACCCCTCACTCCTGAGACCGATCACGCCCAACCGCACCACATATAGATTTTGCTGGCGGCTAGAAAATAGGTCGATTTAAGATATATGAAAAAATGTGTACATTTCAAAGTAATTCTCCTTGTTAGAAAATGGCTGCTGTTTTTCGTTTACACAATCAGCCAATCAGAAGGTGCCATTTGAGCGCACGCACGTGATAGACGGGCGCGCGCCATTTTGTACGACAACATCAATTAATGTTAGGTATAATAAAATACGTTTAGATTTTTTTATTATTTCTGCACGGCATTTCTGCTAATAAAATAAAATTTAATAAACTCTAAATGTTAAACTTAATATTTGTACTACTTATTATTTTATTATACCAAATAGTAGATACATTTTTTGTAATTAGATCCGAAAAATAAATCTATAATAATATGTTCTTATGTATAATTATCTCTCTTATCTCTTGCAGATTAAAAGTTCTCAACCCGACCTAAAACGCTCGTAAATTATATTCATATATATATATATATATATATATTCGTACATTCGTACCTAAATACAGGGGCGAAGGTGGTTCAGTAATATTTCTGCTTAAGCATTGAACTAACCCCCCCCCTCCCTTTTTAATATCACTGTTTATAAGTTATAGTCAATACTCGAGCCATTTTGTTGGATATGTCTAATCCACGATTGCGTTAATGAAAGCGACGTCCGTTTATCTTCATCCGAGGCCAAATATTAATATTTCTGCGATTTTATTGATTCGGGCGCTGTTTGCATTTCATACCGACGATAAGAAGCTGGGCGCAGCTTGTAACATGTAACCTTTTTTAAACCAAATTATAAACGGGGCGCAGTTTACGTAAAGCAAGGTAATTTGGGCGCAGTGGCGCAAAAACTCAATGGATAATCGTTTTCTTGCACCCGGACAGATCCCGGCTCGGACCCGACCTTAACACGTAAAGATTGTCAAGCGGAGTTGTGTGTGCGACCGTTTCCTTAAGTATGACAGTGAAATATTTTTTTAATTCATACGTACCGTCAATCGTGAGCTGCGCCACCAACCCACCGCATATTGCACCAGGCCGTAAGTTCCAGCTCCTGCCACGAACCCTCCGGCCACTAGCGCTGAATTTAACACCATCTTTTCCATATTTTCGCAAAATCAGTTGGATTCTTCAAGTCAATCAAACGGATAAGTTCTTGAGACTTGCTGACAAAAAATAACTGAATACTGTTATAAATAATAGATAACAACAATACCTAATAATAAACAATGATTTCTAAAAGCCAATTTAATTATTTATTCTATTCGGATAGCTTATAAATCATCTGGTAAAATTCCGAGCTTTTTAAATATCCAAAAATGTTTTTTTTTTAATAGATTTCGTCTATTAACGAGAGTAATTGAGTCAACGGGTCGCAATAGAAGATGCCGTGTTAGACTACAAGACCGAAAAAGGCCGATGGATAAATTAAAAAAATGGCCTCCTGCGAGATAGTGTCGTCGAACCAATACTCTTTAATGTGTCTATACAAATGACCAGCCCATTATGGAAACTACTCGCCGTTTCCTGTATGCCGACGATTTAGCGATAACTGCGCAGGGCAAAACTTTCAGTGAAGTGGAACAGACACTCACACATGCGCTGGAGAACTTGGACAGATTCTATACACAGAACTCACTAAAACCCAACCCAGCGAAAACGGAAGTAAGTGTATTCCACCACAACCAAAACAGGCAAAACAAAATTTTATTTTACTCGTTTAGTTTTGTATCGAAATTTCTGCAAAAATTCAAATTATTCCATGGTACTATTTAACGTCAAAAAAAAACATTGGTTTAAATCATACGACATTGAAAAAGAAAGTAAAATCAATGTTTTTGAAAAATTAAATGTTCAATTGTTTTAATAATATTAAAACTTAATATTCCTTACACGAACAAAATAAAAACAAAAAATTGTTTCCTACATAACCTAGTTAAGTTACCAAAGAACTTGTATATCTTTACAAAATTGATACTGGCGGCCAATATCAATTTTTCAAACAATTGGCTATTCTAAGTAGTCAATAGGCAATACAAAATGCACACACCCACGTGTGGTTCGAGAACATTTCACTAAACATAATAATAGGGACATTATCTAGATAATTCTAGATACACTGGCGCAGTTTAAAAGCCGTCGGTACCGGCGCGTTTATCAATTAATTTCTTCAATAGTGAATTAAGTTAAGTACATTTTGTAGATACAAAATAAAAGTTAACTTAAATTGATATTTTAAGTTAATAAATTGTATTGACTTCCAGAGAAGGATAAGTTAAGCAGAAAAGCTAGTTCTGACAACATGTTCCAGTGTATTTTAACGCCCTTTTTGACAAGTTGTTCAGAAAGATATCCTACTAACAATGAATAACATTTTACTCAGACATTTTTTGTTGTCGAGAAAAATTTATCATAATCAAAGAATATTTTTCGTTTACCAAGGAAACCTACACTGATTACCAATTATAAAATAAAAAGTAGAGCCAATTTTTCAGAAATATCCTTTTTTTTTGTGCGAGTAGGCGTATGTTATATGACTAATCCGTAATACAATTTTGCGTAAAATTGTTGTTAAAAACACTTAAGCAATTATTAAAAAATTGGATCTGAAGTTAACACAACACATGTATTCGGTGTAAATAATAGTAAAAAATTGATCGCACAACGAATTTTTACCAGATTTTTATTTATGCGTAATGGCAAAATCATACAAATATTTTATTGAAATATTATTTTACGACTTACAATACAAAACTTACATTCAACCTAATTTAATTTACTTCAATTGAACTGAATACGAACACCAATTAAACCGATTCTATATTTACTCTTTGTTTCAATAGGTAACTAAGTATTGGGTTTATCCTATGAATCAACATGAGGGGAAAAAAATCATTTTTAAAATATTATTAAGAACTGAAAGAAACATGTTAAACCTATTTAAAAGTCTATTGGTGCAAGTACAAAATATAAAAATAACAATAATCATTTATATGGCTTTCATTGTTCTGTCAAAACAAGTCAGTCCATGCATACATTTTCTATTATCTTTTTATTTTTATTTCTACATTTTTATAACACTATTTTTTTTTTTTTTTTTAACGAATTTAAAGAACTGATATTTTAAACATACAAAATGTGCAACATCTAAATACATACATTCCGCTAGTAACCCTGTATACTATGTATGGACCTTAAGTACGCGTGTTAAAATCTTTCTAGTTTAATCGCCTTAAAATGTATACATAATTTACAATGGACCAAAACACCCTATATATTATGTTGGCATGAAAATAAAATTGACATTGGAATGTGTCATTATTCAAAAAATGTTGTGTAAAAACAGATTTATGAATAAATT